CTTAATATATCGACAATATTGTCCATTCATATTATAACACTTCAATTAATAACACCATATGAATATATAACTATATAAGGATCGTACTAAAAGTAACCATGTAATTTTGGTAGCTTACAAAATGATGGATTGGCAAAGGTTTGTCTGGTTAGATGTGATGGATTGGCTAGGGACCGGTTTCAATCACTACAAGAAAACAAGTATCTCCGACCAGATAATTAGGAATGATCAAGTAATGAAAAACGTAATTCTTCGAATGCCAGCCAGTTTGTTCATTCGAATGCAATATATTCTTACAATACTAGTTTAACTCAGAATTGAGAACCAAATTTAGAAGTATTGATGATAGCATATATAAAAAACGATCACATGAAATCCTGGTATTCAAGATCCAATCGTACGACTTATAATCAGTAAACTTAGTACTCAAAATTAAATATCTGTAACATTCATAAGTCAAACCCAACAGGCTACATTTTTAAAACTTCCTTATCGAATAGTTAAAACATCATAAGCGTTTTTTTTCATAAAAATTAAAAACATCCGAAAATTTTACGCCTACAAACAAAAGAAATAACAAAATGCGGTAGGAACCGCCGGCGAACACATGCGATCCAAAAACATGCTCAAGCACTCATTTCTTCTTCCCAGCCTTGGCAGCATCACCAGCCTTGGTCTACAAATAACATTTGCAAATGTTAACCAAGGAAATGTTAATAGTTCCATAAAATAAATCCACAAGCTTGCAGCAAAAATACCCCCTAACACAAACCACCAAAACAATAGCAATATTTCTTACCTTCTTGACTCCACGAATCTTCTTGGATCTGTTCTTCCTTTCCTTGAGTTGTTTCCTTGACTTTTCCACCTTTGTATCCAGTCCATTCTGCACAAGGAGCCAAGTTTGAGAGATAGAAAGATAGATAAATAGAGAGGGAGAAAGAGAAGGAAGCTTTCTGTATTTACATGATCCAAGAGAAAAGAAAAAAGCCACATGTATTTCATGCCAAACTAACTACTGATTCTTTAATTGAAAGAAACCACATATATTAATCATCCTTTGACACATAAATCAATTATTAGTTAACTCATCAAGGAACTGAAAAAGCCTGCGGTTGTAACTTTCTTGCAGTTGTTAAGATTAGTAACTTTCATCAAGGAACACTGAGAAATATACCAGGAAAGTGAAATGACACATTTTAGTAAAAAAATTCATGTGAAAATATATGAACCCATTCAAAAAACCGTGATAGGGAATCAAAATGAACTAATTAGCAGACTTAAATAGATTGATACAACTCCCATAACATACCCTTAGTCTACATTTAATGAATAGCTCCACGAGGCTTTTGTATCAAACTCATACCCGAGAAGGAAATGGGTACAACTAATGCACGTTTTGAATGACTATAAAGCTTAAATAGGTATATGCCAAAATTTGCAAGTAACATAGAACTGGGATGGAAGAAAAGAAGATAAATTTACCCTGATCAGCCTGTACTTTGGCTCATACTTCTTTGCATTCTCTACGGAATCATAAATCAAACCGAAACCAGTGGATTTCCCCCCTCCAAAGTGGGTGCGGAACTTGAAAACAAAGATGGCATTTGTATCTTTCACCTCGTACAACCTTGCAAGTTTCTCCTTCAACTCTGCCTTCATTATGAGAAGAACAGAAATTAATTTCAATTGAAAATTAAAAAGAGCAATCTAGCAACAAAAGAAATTAAATTCACAGAAAAATAGATCTAGCATTATTTTTAAAAAGTTGAGATTAGTCGATGAAGATGTTGGTGACAACAAAGTGCAGAAGAATATAATGGATACGTAACACTACAATTCGTTGATTCAGGGTTGGAACTCAAGGCTTCAGCCCTTTATTTAAACTTAAGAACAAAACATTAAGCTCAAAATAACTATATTTGTCATCAGTAAAACAGACATTAAAATCGAACAACCCCATGATTTTGAACTTGTTATCATATTAAAAAAGAAATAAAAGTCGTATACATTTCCTATTTGCTAGTGCAAAAATATCAAGTAGAACCAAATGCCCAATGAAAGAAAGCGAGAGCTCAAAGAAAGAAACCAAACCTTGGAGACATTGGGTCGACCAGGATGCAGAACATCGATGACCTACATCAAAACCAAAAAGCGCACAGCAAAAATCAGCTACCAAACAAGTAAGTTTCTGGTTATTTTCTAACTAGTTTTCCTACATTTTCTAGTGAACCAAACAGGGATAGTAGCTAGAAGACTCACGAATTGCTTCCTCGAGAGAAGACGGTTGGTCATGAACTTCCTCGTACGGATCGTCACTGCCTTGCTATCCGCCATGGTTCCTCTCTATGCGCCTCCGCTCTTCTTTCGCTTGGGACTGTCTGTAAGAGCTTTGCGCGTTTGCGAAGGAGGAACTTTGAGGTTTTAGGGTTTGGAAGCTGGACTCTATATATATATATAGAGTGGATAGGGCCCATATTCTAATATGTTGGGCCGATTTTAATGGAATGGTCTGGGCCCAACTTATCAGCAATAAAATGACTCCATCAGCGACTTCGTTAAGCCGACCTTCTTTTTACCAATATAGTAGAGACGAGAAGATAGCAGACGTCGACAGTAACTCCGTTTAGCAAATCGCGAAGACCCCCAATTCGTCCGCGAATGGGTCTGGGCTCGAAGTTTATGTGAGGATTAGGGCTCAATCTGAGGCATTGATTTTCAGGGACTTCAATTTGAAGGAGGGGTCAGACATTAAGTGGTTCTGGTAAAAGCTTTTCCAGGTTAGTTGCTTTCCAAAATAACTTCATTCGCGACTTCGTTCAAATCTTCTCTGATGGGGAGGCCATCGTCCACCATCCATATCCCCGATAAACGACACCGTTCCGATCACGAGAACGGCCGTTACCCGCCCCACTCCGACTCCTCCGGCGACAACCGCTACCAGCGTCGCAGCCCCAGCTATGAAAGTTACGACCGTAACAACAATAACCGTAACCGCCACAGAAACCGCTCCGGCTCGCCCGATCGCCCAAACCCTAGACGAAGCCCTAGGACCAATGGAGACCCAGGCTCTTTGGCACAGCGTCGCAGCCCCAGCTACGACCGGTACAACAATCACCACGACCGGTACAACAATCACAGCGACCGAAACCGCTCCGGCTCGCCCGATTACCCAAACCGTAGAAGAAGCCCTAGGGCTAATGGAGGCCCAGACTCTTTGCCCAACAAATTCGGGCGAGGAGGCAACCGGATGGATCGGAATGGAAGGCGATCGGAGTCGGAGGAGTCCGACGAGGAGCTGAAGGGGTTGAGCTTCGAGGAGTACAGAAGGCTCAAGAGGCAGAAGTTGAGGAAGACGTTGAAGTATTGTATTTGGAATGTGACGCCCAGTCCTCCTAGGGTTGAGAACGATGAATTTGAAATTGAGGACAAGGCTGATGAGATTTCTGAGCGGTATGGCGAGGAGGAAAAGAGTGAATCGGGCGAGAAAAAGAAAGAGAAGGCAAAGTCTGAATCTGAATCGGAATCGGAGGATTTGAGGTCGAGGAAGAGGAAGAAGGGTTCGAGTTCTAAGCGTAGGGGCAGGAATTCGAAGTATAGTGATAGCGAATCAGAGAGCGAGAGCGATGATGAATCCGAATCCGATGAAGATGATGATCGCAGACAGAGAAAGAAGTCAAGAAAGAGGAGTAAGAGGAGCAAGAGCAGAAGAGAAAGGAGAAGAAGAAGAAAGAGTAGGCGTAGCAGTAGCGATTCTGATGAGAGTGAAAAAAGTGAAAGTGAGGGTTCAGATTCTGAATCAGAGGATCGCTTGAGGTCGAAGAAGAAGAAGGGAAAGTCGCGCAGTCGGAGTAAGACGAAGAAAGAATCTGGAATAGACAGGGAGAGTTCTGATTCGGAGAAGGGTTTGGATTCTGAGGTTGATGCCAAGCCTGTTACTATGGTGGAAGAGGAGGTGATAAAGGATGAGAGTAATGTGGAGGCATTGAAGCTGAAAGAGATTTTTGAGGCCCAAAAGATGCCTGCACTGGATAATGAGCCGGTGGTTGGGCCAATGCCATTGCCTAGAGCTGAAGGGCATATTAGTTATGGTGGGGCGCTTAGGCCCGGAGAAGGTGATGCCATTGCACAATATGTTCAGCAAGGGAAGCGTATTCCACGAAGAGGAGAAGTGGGTCTTTCAGCAGATGAGATTCAGAAGTTTGAGAATCTTGGGTATGTGATGAGTGGTAGTAGGCACCAGAGGATGAATGCCATTCGTATTAGGAAAGAAAACCAAGTTTATAGTGCTGAGGACAAGCGGGCTTTGGCCATGTTCAACTATGAAGAGAAATCAAAGCGCGAGCACAAGGTTATGGCGGATTTGCAGCGGTTGGTTCAGCGCCATATTGGGCAGGATGTTGGTCCTACTCACGACCCTTTTTCTGGCAAGGCCTCAGAGAGTGCTGATACTTAGTTTCATGTTTACTTTTGTCTAAGTTGTTGTTGCTTTTTTTTATTTCCTTTCATTAACCATGTATCATATGCGTTACTGGTTGATTTTGAGCTGTATTGAAACTGAATACTTTGGTTTGTCAATATCTATTTGAGTTCTTAAATTTATTCTCTTTTAAATGCATTAGATATCAGATTGTGGAAGCCAACCAGTTAATCATTGCATTCCCAGTTGTCAATTCATGCAAAATCTCTGGGTCTTGTCCGTGTTTTGAATGTTTAATTAATTAAATTGTCAAGAAGTTGAATGTAAATCAGTTCATGAATGGTGTTTATTCTTATTTTGGGGTTATCATCGCCCAGCTTTCAAAGAAGGTGGAGAATGTGCAGAGCTCAAAGACTTTGCATCAGATTTTTTGTCTTTGTATTGCAGGTATTGTACCTTGCTGTAAATATTTGTGCACCATTGTATATACATTGTTATTTTATTTCTGAGCTCTGTTATCTTTATCTATTGTTTTCCTGCTCGTTTCCCTGGTGATAAGTTATTGGCTGGTTTATCCCTAACCTCTTATATTTCAAATTCTGCATTCTCCATCTTTCTTCTTTTTCTTCCTAAACTCCTTATCCTTTTTTGTTCAGTGATCTTCGAGACAGAGATGAAGGTGAATGACCATAAGAGACAACCTAGCCCATCTTTGCTTGACCGGGAGGATAAGACATTTAAAAAGAGGCATTGCATTACCAATCAGTCACATGTGGAACATGAAACCAGTTACTCTAGTGAGAAGAGTTCTGAAGCACTGCAGTCTGACTGTGTTGATAAAAATGGGGTATATGATTTAGGTCTTCTGAAAATGCGGTATCTAGTTAGTTAAACTTTTAACAAGACATTTTCTTGTAGATATATTTAAACTAATGTGATGGGCAGGTTACCATTGTTAATGAACTGCTCGAGCTTCAACCAACCCTGAAAGCATGCATTAATACAGCAAAACTATCTCTAGACATGTTTGAATGCTATATGCTAGTGTTCATGAAACCCCCAAGTTGACACGTGGAAGCTCGTCATTTTCACCTGGAGAAGTTTTTTGGGATGATGCAATTCAACTTGCCAATGGTCTGTGTGCACAGGCAGCAGGAGTAATTAGTGTTGCACGATGTGACTGCAAGTCAAAGGAAATTCTGGATGAAGGTGAGCAGATGGATAAGGGTGGTGATTCAGGGCCAATGGGGAAGCATAGAAAGGATTTAGATAAAGAAGTGTCCCCACTGCTTGTTAAACATTTTGATTCCTCTTGTGAGGACAAAAATTTGGATAAAAGTGTACCACATCATTTGGATGCATACAACTTAAAGAGTGTGGCTCATGTAGGTGGCGAGCAATCTGAATCCAGTCTTATAGTCCATAGAGGTCTGAGAAATACTATGATGATCTGTTGCAACAAATCTCAGGAAAATCAAGTGACGTTTAGAGATCAATATACAGATTCTGTTAATGCAGTCATCACCAACATGAAAGTGGATTTAACAGGCAAGGATATGACATCTTATTCACCAGTTGATGAAGTCGTAAAGTTGACTGGTAACCATGAATCTGATGAAGCATGTACTCCTTCAAGTTTTGTGCCACTCAAAGGTCATCTGGATCTGAACAGTTGGCAACGACCAGAAATATGCAGCCTATATAGAAAGAAAGGAATTTCAAAACTTCATCCTTGGCAGGTATCTTTAGATTTCTGATTATAAGGCAGTGCTCAGTTCATATATTTGTGGTGGATTACAGATGGAGCGCAGGTTTACTGAGTGCTCTGCACTCTTGATATATGGGTGGATTTTTCATCTACTTTGTTTGTTTTGGCTTGTAGAGTTTATATGTGATTGGGTTATGGTGCTTTTTTGTTTGTTTGTTTTGTTTTTCTTGTTCGTCTAATGGAAAATAGGTTGGGTTGGGGGTTTGATGCTTCTAGTTTGGTTTAGTGTCATTGAGACAATCATATGAAAACATGTTACATGCCTCTCTTTCTGAAAGAAATTGGATTATCAGATAATTACGATGGACAATGCTACACACCTCAATTTTCCTGCCAATATTTTTTGTTCCCAACGTACATGCCATGATCCCAACCTATCAGGTTGATTATGTTTTATTATTTTTTTCAACTTAAATGCACGTAGTTGCAGATGATCTGGTGTGGTGGTTTAGCCTTGAACAAACAATATGCTTATCCTTGCTGCTAGACTAGGATTTCATCGTTTTTCCTCGACTGAAAAAAAGAAAAAGGATTTCATTGTTTTAAGGCATTGGATATGTATACCTTTTCTCCATATTTATGTTTGGGCCGTTGTGTTTCAGTATTAGAACTAATTAGTTTGAATTGAAGCATAAAGTACATGCATTCTCCATTTTTCAGGTTGACTACCTTCAGGTTGAAGGTGTATTGCAGATAAGGAATCTTGTATATTGCGCATCAACAAGGTAGTGATGCAATTGGTATTTATCTTAGCTTTTTTGTAACGCTATGCGCTTTTGAATTGTTTGATAAGGTTGTAAAATGTATATAAAAGCCTGTGACATTTGTAGAGTTTTGAGCTACAATTGTGTTTGTTATTTATTGATTTTCTACTTTACCATTTAATTAGTGCTTCCAGTTGATGTATGATAAGATTTTATTATTATAAATTTTTTGAACTTAAATGTTGTAAAAAGAGTTTATACTGTTTTCCTTTTTCTTTTTTTTGTGCTGGTAAAGCATCTACATATGTTTCTTAGCCTTGCAAAAGTTTTGCTGCAGAAATTCTAATGTTGCGGAGGGTCTTATCATCTGGAAAAATGGCTATACTTGTACTTCCTTATGTATCAATTTGTGCAGAAAATGTGATATTGTTGTTTTCCCCGAGATTTGCAATTTTAGATTATTGTTGTCTTATCTGGTGCAGGCATAACATTTGGACGTACTTCTTGAACCACTTGGTAAGCGTGTTCGTAGTTAGTATGGAAACCAAGGTGGTGGAACACTTCCCAAAGATACTTCTGTAGCTGTCTGCACAAAAGAAAAGGCGAACTTTTTGATAAACAGGCTGCTGGAAGAGGGTCGTCTTTCAGAAATTGGAATTATTGTAATAGATGAACAGGCTGCTGGTACTTCATATCCTTGTGGTTATGTGTCAATAGTTGTTTGCAACTTCAATGCAAGTTTTATATTTTTTCTTCATGGGCCTTTTTTCTTTTTCAGTTTGGTTAGTTTTCCTTTGGTAATTGCTTTTTGGGTGGACTTATTTAAATGCCTTTCATTCTTATAACTATTAACAGGTTGGCGATCCAAGTAGGGGTTATGACAAAACTTCGTTATGCAGCTGGTGAAGGCAATTCTGAATCAAGTAGTGGAGAAAGTTCAGGGATGAGCAGTTGTAACGCTGACCCTGTCATGGTCTGGAAATTGTTGGGATGAGTGCAACTATGCCAAATGTGGCAGCAGTTGCTACTTGGCTTCAGGTAAGTAGAACTATAAAACATTAACTATGATCCTTCTTGAACAAATGTTTGACTGTAGGCATTTTATCATTAACACTTGCAGGTCCCTTAGGTGTTTGGCAGTTGATTTAAGAATATAGATACAAAAATCTTTACTTGGATTGTGTGACTTTATACATGGGATCTTGAATTCCACTCTTAATGTAGTTGTTCTGTATATGATAAGTACAACGCCTCATAAGTTCCGTCTTTCAAGGGAAAGTTGATGAAATAGTTAAGTCTTGTTTTGGTAGAAAGAATTTCAGGACACCAATGACTCAATTAGGCAATTAACTAACTTGATTTAGATTTAACCTTTACAGTGATTGAAAAGACCCTCCAAGTTTCTCAATTTTTTGTATTTCTTTTTCTATGGGTAACTTGATACTGGAAGAATTGTTTAACCTGCAGCTTATGAGTGTTACAATTATTTTAGCAAGATTTTATGATCGATGGGTTACGCGTCAACTCTTATAAAGAATTCCATTTTACATGTTTTTCATATTATTTTTAATTAAAATATTTAAGAAGTTTAGCCGCACGGCTATACCCTTTTAATAAATAAAAATATTTCACAGTATAGAGTTAAACTGAATATATAAAAATATTTTAACAGTCTAGCCGAACGGCTATACTCTCTTAACAATCGAATATTTAATCAGTATAGCCGTCCGGCTATACTCTTTTAATAAATTCGAATATTTAAGGAGTATAGCTTGGCGGCTATACTCGTTAAATATATTTAAATATTTAAACCGTATAACCGAACGTCTATCCTAGTTTAATATATTAAAATATTTAAACATTATAGCCGCACGGCTATACGGTTTAAATAAATATATTCCAATATTTTGACAGTATAGCCGGTCGGCTATGCTCTTTTAATAAATTCGAATATTTATAGCGTATAGCCGCCCGGCTGTACTCGTGAAATATATTAAAATCTTTAAACCGTATAGCCGCTCGGCTATACTCTTTAAATAAATATATTAAAATATTTTAACAGTACATCCGCACGGCTATACTTGTTTAATAAATTCGAATATTTAAGGAGTATAGCCGCACGGCTATACGCGTTTAATATATTAAAATATTGAAAAAGTAGCCGGGCGGCTATACTATTTAAAATTCAAAATTATATCATTTTCTTTTTTAAAATATAAAGGGTTAACGGTAGTTTCAATCTATCTTATCATTTTGGACATCATACAAATTAAACTCCCGCTAGAATTCCCCTACAAAAATATGGGTTGAATTTCTGTCGAACTTTAATTATCTTTAATAACTATTTGTCTCAGTTGGAACTCCTCTGTTTTTCAATATTGGTACATGGCAATAATATGAATATTGTGTAGAGTAAAATGTTTTGTACGCGCATGACGGTAACCCTTGTTACTGTCTACAAATGCAATAGCGTGTTTTAAAGTTAATTCTTAATTGTTTTCTTTTTCTATTTGCAGGTACATAGAGTGTAAAAAAGAAGCTTTCACTTCGTTTGTTCCTGGAGGAGGAAGCATAAGTAAGAGTTCCTTTGTATAAAAATACGCAAAATCATGAGCCTATTTAGGTGAAGTTCATATGTATTTCAGTTGCTTCTCCTGTCCATCTCTGCTTTCTCCAGTTTTCATTTTTCTGTTTTGTTTTGCTTCTTTTATGTTGTTTCAACTCATGTCAGAGGCTTTGGTTGTGGTGCAGGCCTTGAAGTCGTCTCCAAATCTGTGCTGGGACTCAGAGGAGGAAACAATGTCGTTCAAATCAGTATTGGACTGATATGAAATTAGATTTCTTTAAACCTGTTGTATCAATTATATAGTTTTTCTATAATCAATTCTCAACTGAATGATTTTTTGTTAGCTGATATGATTTTCTGTTTGTCTTAACTGTGACAGAAACAAAGAAAGAGAGATGGAGATGATGATTTGATGGTGAAAGGTAGTTGGGTGTGCTTTCAGTCTTATTTAATATTAAGGGTAGTCACTCTTCTTCAATTGCAGTAAACCTTGATGTAACCATATTGATATTAGAAAATTTGGAAAACATCACCCTTCTATTTGACGACGGTGGAGGCTTTTTCATACGTCTATTTTAATCTGAATAATGTACTCTCTTTTTTAGCTTCAGCGGGTATATTCCGGTGTCTGCGTTTGCTTTGGCATTCTTCTTTTTGGATGTCTCTGAATGCATGTATTAGGTGGTGTTTTTGGGCTTCCATCGTTTTTCAAGCAGAGCCAAGTAGCATACCATGCACAGCAAACACACACTTGCTATACAGTGAGAAGCAAGCGGTATGTACAGAAGTGAAAGAGCCTGAAAGACTCAGCACTCTGGTGACAGAAGGATGCGAGCGCAACGTGTAAGTTGTGTCGTAGATAGAACTGAGCATTTGACCAGAACATTTTAGAATCCAGAAGATTTGGAGTGGGATTTCTTTGAGCTTTGGTGATCCTAATTTCTGGCAGATTCAGATGTACCCAAGAGTTTGTATGTAATTTTGTCTGGATGACACTGACTTATAATAATATCTTAGTGTGGATGGAGTTTGCTACCAAATGTTTCTCCAGCTATGCATGATATTATAAATGGCTTGCATGCTCCATGAAGTGGTCATTAGAGTAAGAAAGGTACAAACTTGAATGCCCAACATCTTTCTTTTCATTTGGTTTAAAGGTGATAGCTGTTCAGGCTGCAGGAATGCCCTACATCTTTCTTTTCGATAGACGACCTTTATCTTGACTCTTGAGGAGGACATGCAATCAAACTTTCTCGAATCCCTTTTCAACACGCATGATCTATAGACGAAGTCAGATGAGAAGAGAGAGAGTGTAAATTGTCAATCAGAATGATAGCTTTCTAATAAATAAAAATTGCTGCTCTCTTAAGTAAGATGAAAATTGAGTGCAGACAGCATATTAATTTTCTGTTAAGCTTTGAATTTGTCAATCTCAGAACCTGCTCTATCATTTCTTTTTTACCAATTTCAGTGTAGGACCATCCATAAATTATGGACCATAATCTAGAGTAGGTTAGTTCAATCAGTTTGTTCAAGGTGGGGGCAAAACCCATCTTCAAGTTGTCAAGAAAGATTTTCATAATTAACAATTGATGACAGAAAATGACGGTCAATTGGGTCCTGGTGAGACCCTAAATCTCACAAATATCTCATCTTACCTAAATGTCATGTATTCAGCAAGAACATTGACATAATATTTTTGCTTTAAAAAAGCCAATTGGAAAAGGATTTTGACTTGCAAACTTGGTATTAGGTTAGGTTCGACCTTCATAACACCTTGGCAGTGTGTGCGAGAAAACTCTCTCTTCCTTCCTAACTTTGAAAAAAAAAACTACTGTGTTATACAAAGACAATCACTTCCCCAACATGCATAATTGTGATTATAATATAATGGATTCTGCTCCTACCAAACAAAATGTGCACCAAAAAGAAAGAGAAACGACCATAGTGGATTGTGTAATCTTATGCCTTAGATACGTACTCAAAAAGCAAAATGAATTCTGGGTCTAAATGAAGCGAAGATGGGGAGTCTGTCACCACATAACATTAGGGAAGGCTTGGTCTCCTCTAACAACTAAGTTGTGGTTTTGGTCAAAGGTAACCACGCCTACAACTCCATGTCCATGCGCCTAGCTAGAGTCTCACTGTCCTAGTCTACTAGACCCTCCTCCATTGTCATATCCTAGTCCTATTAAGTAAGCAATTAGGTATTGGAGTATTGCTAGAGTCTACTGCCCAAGCACAGAGAGATCTTGACCGTCAATGTATGTAAAATTCACAAAACATCAACGGCTAGAATCAGTTCACGCCTGAGCCTTAGCATTCTTCTTATGTATTTCTAGAACACATTGATATGGGCTAGTAACATGGTTGAAGGCGTGAAGCAATGTTGATACAGATGAAAACAGAAAAAAGAAGAAGTACATATACCCAAAACAGGAAGATGCATTTTACAGAGTAAGAAATAAAGAATAGGTTGTGATGTGAAATAAAAACCCATATGATTATGCCTTTCACTGTGAGTGAGAGCTAATGCATCACATCAAGTAGATGCCCATTTGTTATAAGCATGTAAATTTCGCATAATGTTGTCTGTTTCTTTTTCACTTTAGGGGAAAACAACTTTGAATTTGTTGCATTGTATTGCTGCTAAAGAAACTTTCTTTGTCTCACTTGACAAAGGTGACACAACCAATTATGGAAAAGTTCTTTATAAAAAACACTCAATAGTGAGAATTTTTTTCAAAAGTTAGTGTTTTTAGGAGAGAGACTTTTATACAATGGGTATAGAAGCACAATGATATACGAAATAACTTTTTCACATGCCATTGCATTATTAGACGGGAATTCTTAAGAAAGTTTTTCTGTGTTTTGAGGATGTATTCTCTGTTTTTTTAAGCTCTAAAATGTAATGCATGTGTAATGTCAGTTAAAGGGGGAGGGCCCCAGTATGATTCTTTTAATTATGGACAAGAAGAAATAGTGCCCAAATTGCCCATGAGAGAGACTTTATTTTTTCCTTTGGGCATTTGTGTAACGTAATATGTAAACCTGCCCTTTCCAGCAAAATACCCTGTTTGCAATTTTGACGTTTCTTTTCATATTTAGACCCCCTTTCTTTTTCTTTCCAATCAGTTCCTTTGAGCTCTCTCCCTCTCCACTGCCCATCCTTTCTCTATCAAAATCACTTTTTAAAATTCTTTATCTAAATTTTGGGTCTTTCTTTCTTGAGTTGAAGTGGTCTCAAACATTGGCAGTGAATTGAAAATCTCAAAGGTCCTTCCTTTCTCTCAAAAAGCAGACACCCAGATAAAACTGAAGCATTTTGAAGCTGCTCTTGGAGCATCTGAATGATGGGCGCGTAAGTTCATTTCAGTTTTCAGGTAGGAGCCCCTTTCTCTGTGTACCAATTTTTATGCTGCCTGCATTCCCTCCTTTCACCTCAAATTCTTAGCCAAACTAGGAAGAACCAGAAAGAAATTTGTCATCTTTGTTGGTGTTATGATGAGGGACTTTCCTTCTTGTTTTGGTGAAAATGGTGTTCAAGTTGCTGATTCTTCTTCTTCATCATCATCAAGGATTGCAAAAATTGCTCAGAACCTGGTTTCTTGTGTCTACCAGTGTAAATTACAGGGTCGTTTGTGTTTTATTACTGTGACATGGACCAAAAATTTGATGGGTCAAGGCCTAAGCATTGAAATTGACGATGCAGCCA